GTAATAACAGGAGCATAGCTGTAAGACTGTCTGAGACAGGGATAGCACTCAACTTCACCAGCTTTTTTCACTGTTTTTGCTGCTTCTGGTCACCACAGGCTGAAAGCTTGAACTAGGCTGGAGTTAGAATGCTGCTTGTGTGTGCCCTGGCAGGAGTGCTGCAGCAGATGACTCAGTGTTGTGGTCAGTCTGCCAGGTTGGTCTGCCAGGTGACATTTGGAGGTCTCTGACCAGCTGTTCCTACCCTTCTCTTTGCCAGGTGCAGATTGGATGTCACACAGATAACCTCTCTCATGCTGCAGAGCTGAAACGGGCCCCGGTGGTGATCCGCACCTGCGATATTGCCTGCCAGAAACAGTCTGTTTCCTGCCTCTGGGGTGGCCTCATCTACATCGTAGTACCAGCAAAGAGCGTCCTGGGGAAAGTGCCCATCACAGTTGAAGGGGCAGTCAGAGCTCCTTTCTTCAAGCTTGGTAGGTTCGCTTACCTTGGTGCCTTTCTCCTTAGTGCCGCTCACAGATACTGCTTTTTCTGTGACTGAAGGGAAGGATGATCTTGTGTTTCAGGATGTCTTAGAAATGCTCAGGTTTAGGAATACCCAGATTTAGTTCCCTTGCTTTCTTGTGCCCTAGGATTCTGGTTAAGTCAGTTAGTCACTCTGTGCCTGCTACATGGTGGAAGGTAGGTGAGGGAGCTGTCACAAAATGGGCAGGATTTGTCCAAACTGATATTTCTTGGAGGCTGGAATTGTCATTTCTAATGGAAACGGTCGTGTTGGGGAGAGACTGATTGAATTCTGCCACAACAACACTTGCCTTATGCTCTGCCTGCCTTACTGTGCCCCATACAGCCATCTCCACTCCCTACAGTAAACCTCTCTGTGGCATTTCCCCTGTTTTCCATCAGTTTCTCTTATCTTCCTGTATGCAATTTCTTCTTGCTCTCCTGTTGAACTCAATAAAACCAGGGTTGTTATATGAAACAGCAAATCTCTGCTGGAGGAGAAGAAATGAGATCATCAAGGGACGTTGGAGAAACCTGGTGTTCCTCCTTCTCAGATGGAAAAGAGAGATCCGTTCTTGGTATGTTACTACTCTGATACATGCCAGTCCTCTTCTGTCTGTCTCCCATCAGTAAAATAACCTGAGGAGACTTCCCAAGCACAGGATGGGGATTAACTAGTTAACAGCCACCACCCCCAGTTGCACAGCTACCACATATTGTTTTCTAAGATAATTTCCTGACTGTGGGCTCTTTCTCCAGCTTGACATCTAGGAGCACCCTCAAAAGTCAGAGCTGTGCTCAACTGATGTTCTATTGTCAATGTAGGGGAGACCTGTGAAAGCCAGTGGAAGGCCTGTATCCGGCACTACCCTGCTCCCTGGGCAGAACTCGCCGTTGAGAATCTCATCCTGACGGTGCCATCTGACAGCATCCGCCACATGGAGAGCCCGCAGCCGCTGCTGACCCTGTGGAACGAGATCATGGTGGCAATAAGCAAATTGGCGGCTATACCAACGAAATTCCCAAGGCCAGAGAGGATTGTAACTGATGTCCAGATCTCCTGTGGTAGGTACTTTGCCACATGGCCTTCTCAAGGGGCTGAGACAAGTGCCCTCTAGCCAGCAACATCTGTTCCTTCAACGTTATTTTGCTAAAACCAGGCTGGGAACGGATGCAAGGTGCCAAATGAGTGCGACCCTGGCATAATTGTGAGCTAATCCATCAGGATGGAAGCATGGAAACCATATTGACCCTTTCAGATGCCTCCCTGTGCTCGCAACTGGTGGTGTCTGGCTTAGCTGTTCTGCTGCCTGGGTGTGTTAAGCAGCAGAGCTGCTGACTTGGTGGCTTTCGCTCATGTAAAGTTACTCATTCTCCTGAATGCTCCTGCAGCCAGGTCAGCTGGGAGACAGCAACTTGTGTTCTGTTTTGCCCCTGCCTCAGCCACAGGACGGTTCTCATGCCTTCAGTGACAGTCATTAAGCCTTTGTGTGCTCCTGCTGGAGACAGGCTGCGCAAAGGTTCCTGTGGGCAGAGCTTAACCTGAAAAGAGATGTTCCTGAGGTGATGGCAATGGAGAAGCAGAGCCAATATCACTGTCAAAGCCCATGATTTTGTAGTTTTGTAGCTGATGCTCCTCTGCCCCAGCTTTTCAAGTTGTGAACTGAGTGCATTTGATCTAGAGTCAAATTAGATGGTAAACGTGGAACTTGGCAATACAAGTTTTGTTCTGTTGTTTTTCCAACTAGGCTGGTTAAATTCATAATCCCACAATGAGACAAGGGCTTGGCTTGATCCCTGATGTCCTAACCCTTTGCTAAGCCACAAGAAAAGAATTTGTTGCACATCTTGGAAGTGTTAAGTTCTGCTGTACTGAGCAAATGACAGTTAGAAAGATCATAGTCTACAGACATGAAATTCCCTTTTGTTTTGGGTGTACTAAATGTTTTCACTCACATTTCTGGGCCTGAACTTTTTGGGTGCCAGTGGCTGCTGAATGCATGCATCCCTCTTATTATTAACCAAAGAGGGAGCTGAAGATCTTAACCAGTTCCTGCAGGAGGTGGGTTGCCATTTGTGTTCTCCAGCTTGCGTAGTCTACAAGCTTAGTGTTCAGTCAAAGCCAGCAGTGTAGCTCTCTGGATCCCCTCTTACAATAGATGTTTGAGTTGAGGGAAGTGTGCCTCTTGTATGAAGCGTTGGGAATCAAGCCAAAGGACAAATCAGGGATGAAGACACCAAGGAGACATGAATAAAATCCCTTGCAGTGCAAGATTCTGGCCTGGTGTGATGCTGCCAAGTTGTTGGTAATGTAGCTGTCCTGTGAGGTTAAGTGCAGCCCTTAAGTGTGACAAACTGTGACTTCCATGTGTGCCATCTACGCTGCTGACTGCTGGGCAGACCTGTGGTGTCCACACTCTGTGTAGGAAGACTCAACCTCTGCCAGGATGCTGAATGACATGGTTGGGTGGTTGGGTTGGTGTCAACTGTGCTGAGTTTGTAAGAGTTCATGTGTGTTCAGGGCAATGGTCAGGCTTTTTCCCTCATCCTAAATTGTCAACTTCATGTATGCTTGTATATAAAAAGGGAAAGTGAGTGAAACTGTGCTTAACTGACAGCTCAGTACTACTTTTATGTTGCTTATTTGACTATTTGTTAGGGTCCAACTTGGACTGCTTCCTTATCTCACAAAGGGAAAAAACTGTCATTCATGGTCATACAGGGTGCTTTGTGAGATGGAGGAAAGGCACTAGAGAAATGAAAACCACAAAAAACAATTTTTTACATCTAAGACACTGGGATGAGTACTTATGACATGTGTTGGTACCTGTCTTTCCTGCAGGCTGGATGCATGCTGGCTACCCCATCATGGGCCACCTAGATTCAGTCAAGGAGATGTTAGATGTGAAGCACATGCGAACGACTGGTCTCTGGGGTCCTGTCCATGAGCTGGGACATAATCAACAGCAGCAAGCGTGGGAGTTTCCCCCTCACACCACAGAGGCCACCTGCAACCTCTGGTCTGTCTATGTTCATGAGGAGGTGCTGGGGATTCCCAGGCATCAGGCCCATCAGGCACTTCGGCCACAGTGTCGGCAGGAAAGGATAAGAGCATACCTGAAGAAAGGTGCTCAACTAAAGGACTGGCAGGTGTGGACTGCTCTGGAAACATACCTGCAGGTAATGGGGGAAAAATGGGTGTATTCTTAGTGCAGTCAGTGAAGCCTGTGTCAGGAGGATTTCATAGATTTCTAGGTTGGAAAAGACCTGCTGGCTGTAGCTGTTGTGGCTTGTGTTTGCTTACAGTCTGGGTTTCTCTTGTGTCCAGAAGGCACCTGAGAGGTGTATGGACAGTGTGTCTAATGCTGATGTCTCCTGAAAGCCTTCCTTTGCCAGCCTTGGGCTTAGCTGCTCATGGAGAGCTTAGCACAATATACTGATCTTTTCCCTGAGGAGACAAACGGGAACGGCTGCTTGTTACACAGCTTGGGAAAAAGAGGATGAAATTTGGGCACAGCTCTTTAAGCTGCTGCAGGTTTCCTGTGGGACATCGGGCAAGTTGGCAAAAAACCCTTTGGCGTTGTGAAGTGTCTAGAAGAGCCAGGCTTCTGGTGGTATTGTGGGGAGTTCCATGGCTGGGCTGCTCTTTGCACAAGAGAGCAAAGAGCAGGGTGCTGGTGTCAGCCAGTGCACTGCCTGGAACCAGTGTACTCTGGCAAGTGGCGAGGGGATGGGCTCGGCTTATCCTGCTGCACGTGTAGCTGGATCCCTCACTGTGGTGGAGACTCTAAATCATGAACCCTCTCCCAGATTAAAGTGCATGGGGAAGCATGCAAGAGAGATGTTTCCCTTGCCCCTTTCCCTTAATCTCTGTAGCATTTGTAGTCTAACGGAGAGAGAGCACTCAACGGGATTTGAACTGGGGGCTTCAAGGCAAATATTTGTTATGATGGCTTAAGCTACTGAGTGAGTATCCCTCTGCCCCCTTGTCTGGGAGCTCTCACATCTTAAACAACAAAATACTTATAGAAGGAGTATTGATGCTGATTTTCCCATGTCCCATAGGAGTGCCTGAATCATCAAGCTGAAGAGTTCACCTCTGTTTTCTCTAGTTGGTGCAACGACTATCAAAATAGTTTGGTGTGGTTTAGCCCCAGCTGGCACCTGAGCTACCAGGCAGGCATTGACTCCCTCCCCATTGGTGGGATGGGGAGGAGAATCAAAAGAAAAAGTCAAACTTGTGGGTTGGGGTAAGGACAGTTTAACAGAACAGCACATAAAGAGGGAAGGGACAATACCAACAATAATACTAAGAAAAGAACACCACAAAGTGAGTGATGCATGGTGCTTTGTGGAATGCAATTTAACATCTATCTATGTAGTGTCAGAAGGTGAGATGTAGGTCATGGCTTGGTGGGGAGCTATGGACATTGAGTAGATGTTCTGCATCCTGTCATGCTGTTGTACCATGTCAGCTCTTCATCTTAACCTCATCTTGAGCGATGACGTAGGTTTCCCCTACCTCTTTACTTTAAACTCTTGCAACATCAGTTGTTCTATCTGAATCCCTTTTGTTCTTATTCCTAGCCAAAGTGTGACCTGCTTGAAGTCTCTCCTTCCTGTTTTCTGATCATGCCTTCATCTCCTGTGCTCCTTCCTTCCAGGTGCTGTTAGTGTCCTCTTTGATGCTTTTTCACTGCACAAGAAGCTTTCTTCTGCCCAAATCAGCAGCTTGTATAGTTGGTTGCTGACATTTCTGGCTGCTCCTGATGGATCTTTAACCTCTTTGTTTTGGCAGGCCAGTGTAATGGGAAGGTGTATTTTTCTGTGCTCTAGTGCTGTAAGTTATGCTCTGAAGCCTGAAAATTGGATGCCTTCATCTAAATTTACATTGATCCTAAAAGACACTGAAGAAATCCGTGGAATTTTCTACTGCTTGTAACTCGGAAATAATGCCAGTGAAAGTTCATTGTTTTTACACTGTGTTCTTCTCCATCAGTTACAGGAAGGGTTTGGTTGGGACCCCTTCACCCACCTCTTCTCTGACTACCAGAAAATGTCCACCATCCCAAAAGACAACTCTTCCAAGATGAACTTGTGGGCACGGAAGTTTTCTCAGCAGGTCAATAAGAACCTGGCTCCTTTTTTTACAGCCTGGGGTTGGCCTATCAAGAAAGAGCTGTCTGTGGAACTGTCCTCTTTACCCAGCTGGGAACAGGACCCAATGAGATCCTATAGACTGTGAAGGAAAAATATCTAAACCTTGATTCACAGACCAGCTATGGCCCATCTTCTTGTGTGCTGCACAGTAGCTCACTGGACACTTAGCTTTACACTAAATTCTTTAGCTTCTTGCTGTCAATGGAGGCCAACGCCAACAAAAATTCAGCAGAAACTCGTGTGTGGCTCAGCTACCATCTAAGCCATCTTCCAAAGGGTTAAATAACAAATGAGCTTTGCTGTAGGTTCTTCAGCTCAGGAGGAATGTGATTCTGAGTAGATTTAGTTTCTGCAGAACCTTGTTCTGAAATGGAAATTTTTGGGGTGGAACCATCCCTGGAGCAGTCTCAAGGATAATACCAGCAGAATAGGGGTCTGTAAAGCAAATAGTAGCCTCCACAATGTTGTAATCTTCAGTTATAATCTCAGTAACATGAGATTTTCACTGTAGTTTTGATTACCCTAAAATCCCTAATTTTCAATTGCTCTAAGTACGTGGAACTTCTATGCCTACTATCATGGAAGTGACCTTATAATGCTTATATACAGCTTAAATAATACATAGCTGACACTGAAATGCTGTAGCTTTCTTCTCACATTGTATGACTGTGTGACATCCAGCTTTATGTAAGTCAATTATATGTTGTAGCTGTCACTCTTACCGTAGCCTGACAGCAAGACACATGCCATGCAAGGTTGGAGGGTGGAAACAAAGAAGAGGTGACTTGATTGTACTCAGCAATGGTTTAACTCACGGGCTCATCAAAGATTAAACAGATAGGGACTGACATGACAGCACGAGGGAGCAGAGAGGAGGAAGGCAGCAGTTTGCCAGGCCAGAGGGACCAGCCTTTTCCAAGGAGCAACAGAAGATAATCTTTCTCCCACCTCATTCATAATTGCTTGGCTAGCACGCTGCAGGGCTGGCAAGTGTGTTCATGCTTAGCCTGATAGCATCCCAGTGCCAGCCTCTTCCTTGTGTATCACCAACAAATAAAACACTTGTTGTGGACTGGCAGGTTGTGTGTGTGTGGTCCTACTTTCATGTTGCTATGGCCAGTAAAAAATGCCTAAATAGAAGGGACCCAATTATTTGTTACAGTGACTTTTCATTTTTGTTCCTGTCTCAGATATGGTTCTGATTGCCCTGTGATTCATTGGCCTAATATTTTGCTCTGTCTTCCAAATTCTTTCCATTCTTATGCACTACTAGTCTGAGTTGTTCTTCCAATAAAATAAAGGCTGAGGCTAACTGTAGCTTAGGGTTTCAGTACTGGTTTGGTCCTGGTTTGGAGATTCAGAAGAAAATGTAGATGGTATAAAGACATAGACCTGACCTACAGAAACAGATTTCACCCCTAGTGAGTTGAGGACTAAAAGTTGAGTTCATGTATGTTTAAAAAATGCTCAAAATATTCTCAGATCTGTTACCTAAGTATGGCAGGATCTGCTCCTTTTTCATGAATGGTAAAACAAAATGAGTCTTGAAGTATTTAAGAGAAAAAAAGACAAAGGTGATGAGTTAGCTTCTGAGCTAGGATGGATTAGTCTACCCATAAAGATTCCTGTGGAGAAGGAAGCTGCAATTTATTTACACCAGCTCTAAGTGCAGCCTGAAATATTTAGGTGTACATAGTGAAGAAATTCAAAATTGGACTAACTCAAATTAATGTCACCTTCAGAATGATGTCTGTTCTCCTCCATAAAATAAAAAAAAGGCAAGGTAGCTTAAATCAGAGAATCCATGCTCCCAGTATGAGGATGTCAGACATTTTTTAAAGTGGCTTGATATTAAAAAGTGACTATCATCAACTCTGTAGTAGCAACAGCAGATGTGGGGTCACCAAAGATGACTGGACTCCTCACCAGGATCTCTGCCTGATTCCGTAAAACCCAGTTACATGTGGATGCACTTCCTGTTTCTGAGGCTGTGCTGTGGGGTTTAGCTATGGTGATTGGTCTTTCTCTCCACACTTCCAACTTATTTTTTAAACTGGCTACCTTTTTTCACCTGAATGCTGAACTAGGGGAAACTCCCATTTCTGCCTGGCAGTCAACCACCCACCAGCACACAGCCCCCCAGGCTGAGCTGGCCCTGGAGAACATCATCCTGATGGTACCAGCTGCTGGTACATGGACAGCACAGTCTGCTTTCCATCTGGGACAAGATGATAAATGCAGTGGCCAGACTGGCAGCCACCCCAGCCAGAGAGCATGGTGGCAGATGTCCAGATATCTCCTGGCAAGTATAACAACTAGAACATTTTATCTTTATCCGTGATGATGGATATTTGTAAGGGAAGTACACAAGGCAGTAACATTATCACAAGACCATGCAGGTCCTCAGATCAGTGGATTAATCCCACCAAATTCAAGGAGACTGCTTGTGAGAGTAAGAATCTTCTGTGAATGTCAAAGGCTTGTGCAGAAAAGTGACATGTTCTGCTGCCAGGTCTGAGGCAATCCCAGAGTAAAGCACAGGAGGGAGACAGGGTGGCCAGCAAATGACATGGGTGCTGTGTCATGTTGCTCTTATTGCTGTTGGAGTGAGTTTCTGCTAATTGCAACAGAAAGAAGGGAAACAGAGCTGGCTGGTTGGGGCAGGACAAATGAGATGTTAAAACTTCAGCAGGCATTTACAACTTGTCTGGTAGGTACACTTATAAAAAAGAAAAATACTCTGTAAAAAGATCAGTAAATTTAGTAAAACACTTTGTAAAGGATACAGGTAGAGTAATTCTCAACTTCCATATGTGTATTTTGTACTGTTTCTCTTCTGATCCATAGTTGCAAGAGCCTGTGGATGGGAAGCCTTCACTGAAATCTCTTCTGAATACTAAAATGTATCTGAGCTCTCAGATAACAATGACTCAAAAATGAATCTGTGGGCAGAAACCTTTTCTTGATTGGTAAAGGAGAATTTGACTCCTTTCTTCAAGGCCTGGGGATGGCCAATCAAGGAGAGCCTTTCCCAGCAGCTGGCTGTTTGTTTCCCCAGTTGATCAGATGATCCAATGAAGCAATATATCTCCTAAGCCTGTTTTTGGTGATGTAAATGTGATTGTCTGTGATAAATCTAGTTCTCCACAATAGTTTTAAAGGGTTTCTGAATGGTGTGGAATTAGGATGAATCTGAGAAGCAGCTCTACTTTGTACATGTGATAGAAGAGTTCATTCTTTGGATCCCTCCCAAGACTGCCTTTGTGTGTTAGGGTACCACTGCTTCCTTTCCCAATAAAGTCATTTTAACCACAGAAGGGGAAACATTTACTGTCTTAATACAAAACAACCACTTCCTTTTTTTTTTTTTCCTCTATTCCCTTATCTCTTAAAGGTTCTCTGTGCCAGACATACTCTTGTTACAGAAGTGCAAAGTTTGTTAAGATCGTTAGAAGAAGAGTAGGAACAGGGGAAAAAAAGTCTTTTTAATGAGGCTGCAAAGATGATTGGAGGGCTGGAGCACCTCTTCTACAGAGACAGGCTGAGAGAGTTGGGGCTGTTCAGCCTGGAGAAGAGAAGGCTCCAGGGTGATCTTATAGCAGCTTTCCAGTACCTAAAGGGGCTACAAGAAAGCTGGAGAGGGTCTTTGGACAAGGGTGTGTAGTGACAGGACAAGGGGCAATGGATTTAAACTGAACGGGGAGATTTAGATTAGATCTAAGGAAGAAATTCTTCACTCTGAGGGTGGTGAGGCACTGGCACAGGTTGCCCAGAGAAGCTGTGGCTGCCCCATCCCTGGAAGTGTTCAAGGCCAGGTTGGATGGGGCTTTGAGCAACTTGGTGTAGTGGAGGGTGTCCCTGCCCATGGCAGGGGGGTTGGAACTGGATGATCTTTAAGGTCCCTTCCAACCCAAACCCTTCTGTGATTCACCATTCCTTTTCCAGGAACCAGACCAATAGATGCAATATTAAGACTGCAGATGGTAAAACTCACCAAATGTGCACAAGCAGTGCATGACAGGGCTGATGTCCAATCTCTTTCCTCTTCTTATGAGAACGCTGCTGCACTAAGTTCATGACAAAGTTCATGCTTTTAAGTGTAAGATCCAGCAGAGCACATCTCCTTGTCAGCTCCTCAGTAACCTGTGTCAGGAAGTCATCACCAAGGCACTCCAGAAACCTCCTGGACTGCTTGTGCCTGCTGTGATGTCCCTCCACCAAATATCATTGTGGTTCAACTCCCTCACAAAGACCAGGGCCTGTGAACATGAGGCTTCCTTCAATTATCTATAGCAGGTGTTATCTACTTCTTCTTAATCAGGCACCCACTACCACATCACTCATGGTGGTCTGCCCCCACGTTCTGACCCATCAGCTCTCAGCTGGCTCACCTCTTCTTGCCAGGCAGAGCTCCATGCATCCCTGCTGCTGTCCCACATGAAGGTGTCTTCACTCTCCTTGCCCTCCCACCTTGTCCTTCCCAAAGAGCCGGCAGCTGCTCATTTCTCAGGCTTCCTTCAATTATCTATAGCAGGTGTCATCTACTTCATCTTAATCAGGCACCCACTACCATGTCACTCATGGTGGTCTGTCCCCACATTCTGACCCGTCAGCTCTCAGCTGGCTCACCTCCTCTTGCCAGGCAGAGCTCCGTGCATCCCTGCTGCTGTCCCACATGAAGGTGTTCTTCACTCTCCTTGCCCTCCCACCTTGTCCTTCCCAAAGTGCCTGCAGCTGCTCATTTCAGTGTTTCAATTGCGTGAGCTGTCCCACCACATCTCTGTGACCCCAGTGACACCGTAGCCTCCTAACTGCACACAGCTCTGTGGTTGCCTCACTGCCCAAAAGTTGCAGGAGAGCCAGAACTGCACAGGCTGCCTTGTTGAAGCAACATATACCATGTCCTTCCGCCTACGTCCTGCCGGAACCTCCCCAACCGTGTGCCCGTTTCACAGACGCGGGCAGGCGTCGGAACAGAACGGGGTTGTACTCGTTTGGAACGGGCAGAGCCTTCTTCACGAGCTTACCTTTGGTTCGTTACATGGCACGGGAAAGTTCTTGCAGGAAGCACGGATGCTTTTTCTC